GGGCCCGCGCTCGGCGCCCGCGCCCTCGGCCTCGCGCCGCCTCGCCGGTGACAGGCTAATGAACGCCACCCTGCGCGGCTCCGCCATCCCCTCTGTTGTGGCCCGCCGGTCGCGCTCGGGCCGGCGCGCGGTCCACGCTGAAGTGCTCGCCCGCCCGCCCTGCCTGTCTCTCTCTGTCGCTTCTCTTTCCTCCACCGCCCTCAGCCGTCGCCGCCGACGCCACCGTGAGTGCGGACCGTGCCCCCTGCCCCACCACTACGTTCGGACCGGCCCGGCCGCCATCGCCCGGGTCGCCGCGGCCGCCATGTTGTATCCCCCACATAAATAGAAGCGGGCCGCCGAGCGGGCGCATGCGCAGACCGCAGGCGCTCGCGTCCACAGTCGTGGCTGCTGCTCCCTTTTCCTCTTTTCCTCCCGACAGCCGGGAGTCCGGACGGGTCCGCGGAAGTGACGTCATGGCCCTGTTCGTTTCCCTGGGAACGGGGACGCTGTCGGCACCTTCCGCCAGAGGAGGGGTTGGGGTTTCCCGGCGGCTTCCGGAAGCGGTGGCGAGCGTCGCGGTACCGGCCTCCCGGTATGCCGGGCGGTCGGCTGGGGTGGAATCTGCGCCGGGGTACGGTGCTGCCGGCCCCGGACCCACAACCTCGCCCGCGGCCCAACGCCGCGAAGGGAGAAGGAAATAGCCGTCGCCAGCGACCCTAGTGGCTGCCTACTTCCCGAACCGCGGCGGTGCCCCGCGGCCTCCCTTCCCCGACTCCGGCCGGCTTCTAGGCTGACCCCAGATTCTCTCGCCCGGTCGCCGCGGGAGGGTTGTGGGCGGCAGGGTCCTAACACGCTCATTAACGCTTTGTAGTTGGAAAGCTGAGCAAGCAAATGAATGGTTCTGGGCTCCTACGAAAGATCTAAACTATTGAAATTAATGGAAAACGTCATTAAGAGGGTTTGGTAGTATTTTAGGGGGAGTCCTCAACCCAGAGGAGCACTGGTGGCACAGTGGCTGAAGGGCTCAGCTGCTAACCGAAAGGTCAGTGGTTCCAACCCACAAGCCGCTCTGGGGAGGAAAGACGTGGCAGTCTGCTGCCTTGACGATTTACAGCTTTGGAAACGCCGTGGGGCAGTTCTACCCTGCACACATGGGGTCGCCCTGAATCAGGGTCGCCGTAAGTCATAATCGACTCAACGACAATTACCAGCGATACTCTGAAAGTAGAATACCAAATGACCCATTTCAGGGTGGGGGCGGGAGAGGTGCCTGGGTTAGGCGTGCCTTGTGAACCCACCTGTGATGAACTAATTGGAATTCAGATTTACAAGAATGGGAATCACTGTCTGTTTTTATTCTTTCAATATAAAGTACATTTGAAAGCTCAGGAATTCATGCCTATGTTAATTACAATAGCCAGTTTAACACTTGCTGATGATGTGTTGAGTCAGTGTGATGTCATAGACATTCTGAGGCGGTTCGGTTTTCTGCGCTCCTGTTACTTTCCTGATTTGTAAGAAGATAGTGATGGAATTGATTCCAGAGGTCCCTCCCAGCTCCAAAATGCTATTATTTTTCCTTGGCATCTGTCTTAATTCCATCATCTCCTTCCCATAGCTCCTCTCATTCCAAACTAGGGTCTCATATTGTCATAGTGGCACTTAGTCACTATTCCTACCACTCTTGCAATGGGGCCATCTTAATGTTTCTAAAACACCGTCTTTACTATGTCAGTCTCTGCCCTAGCTGTCAGCTTACCTACAAAGTAAGTTCTGTACTTACTTGTTCATATTCACAATTCTCAACAATTTAGCTCAGAGGCTGCAAGCTGGTGGCCGGCAAGCGAAATTGTTTTGCAGGCGCGTTTCCTCTCATTTAGACCATGATCCAGAGTAGAACTAGATTTTACGTGGTGACTCGGGGTACACACACACTTCGACGTATCTGAAATAAAAGTGTCGCAAGATAGTACTTACCTCACTGTGTAGGACAAAGTAAAATCAAGGAAGTTAATATACATTTTAAAGTACAAAGTAGAAACAAATCTCAATACAAAAATACAAAAGCAAATTAGAAGAAGGTCCCAGACAGAATGGGAGAAAAATGTAGAAAAATGCTGAAATTCCTAAAGAAGGCCAGACTTACTTGGACTGAAAGAGACTAGGGGAACCGCCCTAAGATACTCCTTGAACTTGGAACTGAAGCCAATCCTGGAGGTCACCTTTCAGCCAAATGATAGATTGGCTTATAAAATAAACTATCACCCATGAGTACTGTACTCCCTTAAGTAATCAACTGTATGAGACCAAATGGTCAACATTTACCATAAAGCAAAGATGATAAGGAGGGGCAGGGAAGCCAGATTAACGGAAACAGAACAAACAGAATGGAAATAATAAGAATGCTGACACATTGTGAAAAATGTAACCAATGTCACGGAACAATTTGTATAAAAATTGTTAAATGAGAATATAATTCGCTGTGTAAACTTTCACTTAAAACACAAGAAAATACCTTTTTTTTTTTTTTAAAGGCAAGTTAGGAAGCTTTTACCTAATACCATGAAAGCCCTTGCCTGTTCATAAGTTTATTGCAGTCCAGAATGCATGAGGACAGTGCCTAACGTTCGTCTGGTCTACTCTTGAGCCTGATCTTTTCCTTTATCTTTAAGCCGGTCATAATTGAAAATCCTATTTCATATACATGTGTTTTGTTGTTAGGTGCCATCAAGTCGATGCAGACTCACAGCAACCCCCACGCGACAGAGTCAGACTGCCACAGAGGGTTTCCTCGGTGATTATCTTTATGGAAGCAGATTGCCAGGTCTTTCTCCCATGGAGCAGCTGGGTGGGATCGAACCAGGAACCTTTTGCTTAGCAGTGGAGCACTTGCTGTTGTCAATAGTAATAATGTCAGTCCACTTTCTTCTTCACAATAAAAAGTTCTTTAATCTTAGCCCAACACGATGAAAAATTGCATGTATAACATTCGATTTTCTGGGTAAAGGAAGCACTACACTGCAAGAACACCAAGTTTTATTCAATTATTTAAGGTTTTGAAAAGCAAATGAATCCTACTGTTGTTGTTAGGTGTCCTTCCCCAGGGACTGGTCCCTCCTGAGAACATGTCCAAAGTACATGAGACAAAGTCTCACCCCCCTCGCTTCTAAGGAGCATTCTGGCTGTACTTCTTCCAAGATTTGTTCATTTTGTTTCAAATTATCTTCTGATTTTGGTAGTTTCTAGCAATTTTTTAAAATATCACCATTATGTTTCCTGATCATATTTCCTGTTCCATCACTTGCAATTCCTTTATAACTTGTTTAATTTATAATGTTATTTTCTAATTTCGAATATATTTTTTTATCCACCTAGACAATAACTCCTGTATAAAATTGTCTTGCTACACAGATTTGGCTTAAAAGTGCTATGCAGCTTGCAGGATTAGCGAACTCGTCAAATTGGACCATAACTGCGTAATAAACATTGCTTCTTCTAAATGCTGTGTAGTCACGGAGTTGATATTGAGTTATCACCAAGAAGCATGGTTTTCAGTTTATCAGCTGATTTGTCACCAAAATTGTATGTCCCGTAGCCATATATAGTGGGTGAAGAAGTTTTTTGGCACTTAGTATGATCCATTCCTCTTTTTCATGCTTCTTAAAGTGGAGGATCAACGAAAAGACGAAGACCCTCAACGAGATGGATTGCCACAGTGACTGCACCAATGGGCTCACACATAACAGTGATCATGAGGATGGCCCAGGACCTGGCAGTGTTTCGTTCGTTGTACGTAGGGTCTCTATGAGTCAGAACCAACTCGATGGCACCTAGCAACAACAACAACATTCCTCTTGTGCCGCATTGATAGGCAACTAAATACAAAAATTAGCTTTTTCGTGACAATTTGTGAAACAACTTCGAATTGTGCCAATAGCTCTATGCCTTTCTTTAAAAAGAACATATTTGGGGGGCTTATTAACAAGTTCATCATGCTGTATTTCCAAATGTCCTTTTAATTTTGAAGGTTTAAGCTGTCATTTTCAGGAATATCATTAAAAAAATAATACATTGGAGGTCTCTTGGTTACATTGGGTTTTGAACATTTGATAAAACTGCATTTTAAATAAGCATCATTATATTAAAAAGTCTTATAGTTATGTTTGTATTTTTAGAATAGATGCAAAGTCAACATTTACTGATTAGAGGGAGATTTTTCTCAATATTTTTATTACTTACACTTCCAGATCTAGCAGCTGAGCTTGAACACGTTTCTGTATTTTTCACTTCATTGTTCCTTTTTCTTGTAACAATAAAACAACTTCTTTGAGAGCAGTTTGCACTAGTTTGATTAAAATATTTTAGTTATAGTTGTCATGTATACACACACACGCACATGCCCACACACACACAAACACGCAAATCATACTTGATAACATCCTTTCCCAAAACATACTTAACATTCTTCACTAGAACTCAATAGAAAATTCTGAGTTTTCTGCCAGAAAATGAAATTCTCTTGTATTTCATTTCATAAGTCACAGTTAAGTTACCACTAATAAATGCAGTTTAATTTTTGCCGATCATTATTATTTTAATTCATATTTGTCTGATGACTAAG